AAAAAAAAAAAAAAAAATGGAGCCGGGTTCGGTGGAACCCAGCCACTGGATAATTTCACAACAACCTGCAATTTGGATAATTTCACAACAACCTGCAAATGGGTTCCATAGAACCCAGATCTGCTGGGTTCAGTGGAACCCAGCCACTGGGTTCCGTCGAACCCAGGCTGGGTTTCGTTCGATGACCTGAGGAAGAAAGACCCGAGGAAGAAGAGGAAGAAAGAAGAAGAAGAAAGAAAAAGAAAAAAAGAAAGGAAGAAGATGGATAAAATTATTTTATTTTATTTTTTAAAAATATAAATAATAATAAGGTGAGTTGGCATGAGTTGTAATAAAAAAAAATTTTACATTGACACGTTTTTAATTTGTTTTTGCCACATCATCAAAAAAACTATAAAAAATGTCACATGAGCGAGTTAACGACCTAAATTAATAGAAGGACTAACGGAGTGCATTTCGTATAGTTGAGGGATCAAAAAAGTGCAAAATTTTGTTAAGGGATCAAAAATATGCATTTCATAAAGTTGAGGGACCAAATTTTGCATTTAACCTTAATTTTAGAGTTTAAAAAACCTAACGAGAGTCCTTTCTTTCACCTACTACCATTCCCCAATTTTCAATTTTCACGGTCAAAATAAAGTGTAATTCTTTCCTCTATTCATTTTTTTTTTAAATTCAAAGGCAGACTTTCATATCCGCTCTTTAAAGAGAAAGGTAGGAATAAATTTATTTAAAATAAAATTAAAATAAATTATGTTTTTAAATTATTGGTTAAAATAAATTATTAATGGTCTAACATATGACATTTTTACATATTAAATAATAAAAAATTAACATATAATAATATTACATGTTAAATACTAAATAATTAAAAAAAAATATTTTCACTTTTTTTTAAGAGATAAATCTGTTCATATTTTTTATTTAACAGGGCGAATTTAGAGATTTTATCTTATTTAGAAAGAAGATGCTATATGAGGAGGGGCTGGATACCAATTACCAAGCCTATTATCAATCTCAGCCCAAGACTTAAACCCTTTATTTCTGGGTCGAGGCCTATTGCAATAGTCTTAATTAAAACCCATGATTACCACAAATGAGAAGGCCCAAAAAGCCCATCTCAAAACCTCACGTCACCAATTTATTTCCGGTGATTTCGCTCTGT